CTGAGTGATGTCTGATGGATGGTGTAAACAGCAGGAGTCTGGGATTATTCAGGGTTGAAATGAAGAAGTGGACTAGCTGTCTGATAACATCAAAGGTGCTGCCTGCAATCGAAGAAGGCATGTAAACTGCATGCAACATACATAGCCCTACTTGAAAAGCGCTAGTGAATTCTAAAAGGAAAACAGACCGGTATTTGGTGAAAACACGCCAAGTTTTGAGCATCTCGAAGTGCTGAATGCCCACATTGAGAAAAGTAGGCCGCAGTCCAGCAAACGATGAATGTCCCTAGTAAATACATTACCTGGTTGCGGATATTTGTCTCCCTGAAGCTTGTCAGTCGGCGAAGTATGACGGTGGCTAATACCTTTGTGCCGACTGGGATCAAACTTATTCCACAGTGGTTTGCACGGTCGTTGCGAGATTCCTTAAAAATTGAAACCATCAGTGATTCAACTCAAGATGATGGAATGCGCTCTTGTGACCAGATGTTGCGCACTAAGTAATGGAACCTACAAAGTCTTCGTCGCTAACCTTGAGTAGTGGCAGCAAGTTCGCTTGGTCGTGGTTCTTGCTTTTTTCAGGGCTTGAAGGCGAGATCGTAATTCTGTTTGAGTAGGAGGTTCACATGTCACTGCCCACGGAGCCTCAACCACAACAGACGAGATAGCTTTGTTAGCGTCAGACTAGCTAAACTGTTCGTTGAAGTATTCCCCCCAGCAATCAAGTCGTTCATCCCTATTGTGAATAGCTTGCCCCCTTTTATCGTAGACTGTTTCACTAACTGGAGTTCGCTGACCTCGCGTATTGCGTATCTGTTGGAACATTCTTTGACTATTACTTGATACAACTCCTATTTCCATTTCATTAGCTCTTGTTACCTACCAGATCTCGTTATCCTTAAAGCTCTTCACGAACAGACATTGCAGAGCAAACCTTGTTTTAATCCCGGTAAGTTGGGATTTGCCGCTTTTTCTCCATCAGGGCTACTGAATCATCGGATATCCAATGCCTCCACAAGCAACACTCGCTGCGGAATGCATTGCTCGCCTAATCTGATGCCATTGCTCATCTACATCATCACGTTAATGCATGCCCAGCTCTTACTTATGGCGTGCACGAACTGCTGGAACAGAATGGCGATGATGATTTATCCGAGTTTGCTGGTTTTGTCTTCGACCAGTGAACTACATCAAAACTAATGCTCGATCAGATTCAAAGAAGGTTTTGTGGAGAGCCACACCAACGGTAGCTTACCGCCTTATGAGCGATTTGAGCGAGCGTACCAGTTGATTTGGAGCGCCACGGTGCTGTCCGCTGAGAGCTGTATCGGATAGAAACACCTGGTGATCTGCGCAGAACTGTAGAAGATGATCGCCATTATCTGTTCATTGGCCGAGCAGAGCACAACGGCCGCGTAGGCAAGCTTCCGATACGTTCAGTTTCCCAACTTGCACGTTACGATTACCTGCGACCATAAATATATCGGAGCTTCGGCTCAATCGAATGAGTTTGGTGAGTTTATCATAGAGCTCATCATTTTGTGCGTCAAAACGGTAGTTGCATACGCTGAGATGACGAATAAACACGTTTTGATGTTGTTTCTCTTTTGGATGCTGGCTGATCCCTGGAGTTACATCGCACACAAGCCACTTTTGACGAGGATCCAATCGATTGGTGACGCTTTGGCTTTATTGTTGAGTACAGTGCCTACTCCGAGCTGGCGCACTGAATGGGCTTCGTCGTCACCTGACGTGCGGAGAAAGCACCTCGAAGACAAACCGGCCCACCAAAGTGGCTTATGGTACTGGGACCCTGAAGTGGAGTCTCCAATACACAGCAGACATCCATTCCAAGAGTCCATTATACATGCCAGACAAGCTTGTTGACCTACTTACTTCAGAGTCCTCATGTTGAAGGCCCCCAGATTGAGAGCTTGACTAGGCTTCAGAATCTGCAGTGAATTTAGTGGTAAACTGCTTCTGTGCTACTAACCAACGAAATGGGGCGCATAAAGAAAAAGTTGTCTGAGGGAATGTTACTGGTCGTAAGAAGGGGTAAAGGGATAGGGTTGGGTACATAAGAAAAAGAGTTAAACAAAGGTTGGGATATCTGGGTAGTGGGCCACTTATCACTAC